TATATTGATGCAGGACAAACAAGCTAAGCTTAGTATCTGAAGAAACTGAAGTCGTATTTTTTATAGGAAGGAGAAAATGCAACGTTTTGTTCAACTACTGTTTAAAGGTGGATCAGTGGCATCGCATCGAAGGTAGTTTTATGGGGTTTTACCCCATTAGAGTTTTAATTTATTTTTTTATATTTCCACACCACTACGGTACGTGATGCCGTGGTTACAATTACTGCATATAGTTCGAAATCACCTGTATCAAGTACCTATTGAAAAGTGGCTCTAGACTAACAAAACTATGTTAATGTATAATATTGCTTGTGCACTGTGTTGGATTCCAGCAACGTCATAAATCAGCATTTCCAGTGACATCCATATTTTTGTATAACGGTGTTACTGATGATTTCCTGGCGATTGTGTCACCTAAACGCATATGCAGAAGACAAGACGAAAAATATAATGTTTATATTTACCGCGCGATCAGAAATGACTGACTCTGTTGGCAGTACTTTTTAAACAAATATATGAACTTTTCTTGCATTTATGTTGGCATAAGGGAAGTAACTGTGTGACAGATATGTCAGTCGTGGCATGCGATAAATTTAGGTTATGTTTTGGATACATTTTGCAAATTAAAAATGTCAACAATCTGTCAGTCTTGACAGCTGAAAACCGGAAATTACAGAAAACATCATGACCCCAATTTGAACTAAAAATCCAGCATTACCAACACACTCAGTCATTTCTAATTAAGCGGTAATAGCAATAGCCGTTGAAATCTAAATGAAGCCAAGTATTATTTCATGTCAGAAAGAAAAAAATCTCTCTATTATCTTTATTAAAGAAATTTAAGCTTCCAGATTAATATTAGAGATTCACTTATGAATTCCAAACCAATGAAAATATTAGTTAAATTGATATTTAATTTTTTCACTGGTTTTGAATTCATACCTGAATCTCTACCACTAATCCGGCAGCTTAAATTTCCTGGCAAACCTTGCAGCTAAAAATAGTAACTACTAATTTTAGTGTAGAATAGAGTCCAAAATTTCAGTTGTCAAGTAAATAAATCCACCCGAAATTAATGTAATCTCTTATCTATTCCAGCAATACTCTGTGGCTATGAATTTATAGTGGAATTAACAATTGTAATGTGAAACAATATGGTTCTGTTAAATTTCCTGAGGCAATTAGACGAGTCCAGTCCTGCGTCGTCCAGCGTTAATACCCTCGCTCAGTTTTATTCAGCCGTTTTCCAAATACTTTAATTCCTGCAAATTTAATTATCCGCCAACTGGAAAATATCCATTCCTGTTGAAACACACACACTTATCCATTGAATAAAATATCATCGAGGGCAAAAATAACCATAAAAACTTACTTATGGTGGCAACAGCCTCGCCTTAATTGACTCTAACATTAATAATTCATAGAAATGCACCCCAACACCGGAAAAAAGCGAAAAAAAGGCGGCGAAACAATCGTGTTCGATGGTGGCGCCGCCTGTGATCCTCTTCTTGTGTTGTTACTCCGAATGAAATATTTGCATCGTTCGTCCGGAAGCCGTCGCAAATCCCGGCAGCCTCAAGTCCTTGAGTCAAGAGTTAAAAGGACAATAACCAGTCGTCGCACGACCACAATTCCAAGATAGCGCCGATAGCAAGAGGGAAAAGGCATAAAAGAGATAGGGCACGTGGCGGTAGAAGCTTAGCGTCACGTGGTCGCATACACTAGGACAGTTTGAAAGCTTTTATAAGCTCCTGTACAGCGTCGGGAACTTTATTGATTATACATGAGGCAAAATAAAATGCTATGGCAGTAACCACCGAAGTAAACGTTACGTTTGCCCCTTTACCTTATGTAGTTGTCAGATATAATGAATATTAACAATACTTTACGAACATAATACAACAAAATGTTGCATACAAGATCCGTAAAGAATTTGGAGAACGAATGGCCTAGTGGTGACTCAAATATCAAAATGGTCTGTAGCAGCAGTGTGCCCAAAATAGTTACAAACGATAAGAAAAATTTTTGAAATTTCCCACGGGAAACATTGCAGCACTATTAGATGCAAATTTATGACAATCCCAAATTTAGGTAGGGGCTGTTAACTGTATTTGGCTGTGACGCTTCTCCTGAATAGGACATATTATTTTGTTTAGCGGCCCTGAACAGCAATACTTTATATCTAAAACACCAACTTTCGAAGAACTGTACAGAGCTCAATATTAAGTAAATTTCGTCGAACACAGACATGTCATACATTCTGAATGGTTTCGACTTAAACAAAAAAAGACTCGGCACTGGGACAATGATAACCCAAACATTGCCAACATTGAGACATGCCCACTAAACTTTGAAAATCCAAAAGAAGTTTAAAAATTAGCCACGAGCTGTGATAGTTAAAAAATGGAACTCTACGTTGTGTCTTTGGAATGATGGAATGCAAAATGGTGAACATTAAAGGTGAAAAAATGACCTGTAATTAAAATGTAAAAATGTGGAAGAATCACTTTTATTAATTTTATCAAAGAATTACAAGATTACAAATTTCTCTCACTAATGTACAGCTCGTTGTGAAATTAACATAAATCTCGAGCTCGCAACGTCTTATAGTGAGTGGATGACAATATCCAAGTTATTACTCGGGGTGGTGCACAAAAAAAATACACCGGTAGTTTAAATTATAGATCACAGTTAAGGGATCGATGTCTCTGATCAAAGCGATCAAGCTTTTCTATTTTTCACAGACTTCTATTCTGTACACAGTCACATTTTACAAGCAAGACCTGGTGCATCCGAACGCGACATTCCAGCCGCTGCTGTCTATTCACGCTGCCTCGGGCCAATACGAAATTAAATCTAGAGAAATAACAAATACTATGACAAACAACAACACTGATAAGTGGGCCCTGGTCCCAAAAACCTAAAAAACTCCCAGTTAATACTTTTGCAATTGACTTATCAGATTTCAAGCATTCATTTAACTATTAATGATGAAAGGTCTAAGTTTGACACCAAATCAAAAAAGAGTCTACATTTGGCCAGCTAAAATTTGTACTGTCGACGTGAATGTTCCGAAAAAAATTTTTGTCACACCACACTATCGTATTTTAAAATAATAATAACAATAAGAATTTACATGATGTTAAACTATACATTAAGTCAAGTTACTGGTTAAATCAAAATGAATTATCAATATTACAATCTGAATCAAATCCTCATATGATATAAACACAGCAGGCACATATTAAGTACGGTCGAAATCATAATAACGTGGATTTGGGTACATACTTAGCTGTGATAGGAATGTCTAAGAATAAATGTTTAAAATTCAAGTTGTAGAACATATAAATTGTAACATCAAATACACATCAGATAGTCTTTCCCGTTTCTAGTCACGATGATATTAATTTAACTGATAAAAACTACATCCTTTCAAAATGGATCAGGGTTTAAATAAATTTTGAATGTTAGCAATGTACTATTTTAAAACCTCGAATATCATAACTAAAATAGCTGTACGTGAATAAGTCAATTTCTATCAGTTTTAAATTAGCAATTATCTCATAATTACAAAAATTATATAATCACTAAAGCACTCTAAAATCAGTTTCACCAATATGGCAAAAATTCGGGCCCGACTTTCAATAAAATGCAAAAACTTTTTATAATATATGAAGGACAATTAACTCCCAACAAATTTCATAAAATCTATTGTGCCTAGCACAGAAATATCTCTTGCAAACAAAATATTTATTTCTCCATTGTCTTTTTTAATTTACTGAAAATTTGACCTTTGGTAAAAAACAAAATGTCACATACGACAAACCAAGTCTGACCTCTGGCAACATACACATTATCGAGAGTGCCTCTTTCTGTTCGATTCCCAGAAACTTTCTGTCCGTCTGTTGGAGAAGCGCGAGATCCCACTACCAAAAAAAATTGGAAAAACCGTGAATGCATGAAACATTATTGAAACGATTTATTGTTGTATGTAAATGCGGTTTTTTGATTTTTTGGCGCTAGATTTAATTTTAAATCGGGACACCACATTACTTAATATTTCATTAAAAAACATAATTGTCACAATAGTCACAAAACTGATATATGGACATTTTATGTGCAATCAAAACGCAGTCAAAACTTTGAATTCCATTCTGTGTGTCTCATTCCACAGCTCGAATTTATCATTTATAGGGTAAATTTATACTGTCCGCTGTCCGAATCATGACAACTCCCCTCCACACTGAAACTTTTAAAAAGCGGAGAATTTAATATTTCAAATTAACACGCATAAAATTTTAATCTAGGAGTGACATAGTTGAGAGTTCAACTTGGTAACAGGTTGAATGAATTATTAGACAGGTAGATGAAAGGTCAGATATTTCTGTATGCTCTAATCTCTAATCAATAAAAATTGTGAGGGCAGACGAAAAAGGTTGTTTCCCTAGAAAACATATTCTATTTTTACTCACTATTACAACGAATTAATCAAATGTCAAACATTCTATACGATATTTATTTAAACAAGCAAACAATGGTAAAGTTTTACATGTGAAAAATGAATATTGTTAACAATGACGTAAATTAAATTCAGTTTATTTATCCATGTACTCTTCATTCCACAATATTAACGAATTGATTCGCACATCACTTTGGAATTGGGTTCATTGTTATAATTAAATAAAAAAAACGCATTTTAACATTCCATATAAAATAATTTGCAATTGCAATATAATTTTATACAATTTTTTTTTAATTTTCATAATATAAATGCCACATTATTGAAACGCTTTATAAATTTAATTTATTTAATTTTCTTGCGATAAATTTAGTTTTAAACTAGCGGACTTACTTTATGTAGATGAACAGATGAACACTTTAGCTCGTACCTACATAGGCAAACTTACAACAAAATAATTTCGTAACAAATATATCAAAACTGCTTAAGTATTAAGGAAAAAATCAGAAACTAGTTAAGTTATACTTATAATTCATAGTACTCATAACGTTACATCAGAGTTTGCAGCAATCCAGTCCAAATAATAATCTATTTTCGTATAAACAGAAGGACTGCAGAGTTCACATAAGTCAGTTCCAAATGAGGTAAGACCAATTAAAACACCACCTAAAGCTAAGGGACCACCAGAATCGCCCCCGCAAGTTCCCTTATTTCGGTACCCAGAAGTACAAATATTTCCAGAGGTAACCCACGTATATTCCTCATCGTTGTAGTATCCAGAACAATCAGTCATATTAGTAACGGCTACTTCAACACCCAACAGAACTTGCGACATATCTCTAATGGAAGGAAAAGGTACGTCTTTAGCTAGACCCCATCCCGTTGCTATTGCTACTTGATAATCGTAAACCTCATCAGACGCAGATGGTAGTTTGATGGGCTGAATGTAATCAGAATATGATACTTCTTGAGACAGCTTAATAAGCGCTATATCGTTCAAATAGCTTGTGTCATTGTAGTCTTGATGAAGGATTACTTTTTCTCCTGAAATTGTTATTTGAGTCGCTTCTTCTGCGTTTGTAATGTTGTGAGCTCCCAGAACGACGTCCACAGTTCGCATTCTAGAGTTAAGAAAAAAATGTCAACATTATATTTAATGGAAATACAGGGTTGTACTCACACAATTCCGCAGTGAGCAGCAGTTATCACGTAGTTTTGCGATATAAGAGCTTCTCCACAAAAATATTGATAGTTATTAATTATCAAACCTACTTGGTAGGGCACAGAATGTGGTTCTACTTCCTGACCGCCAATAATGCGCACTTTGGGATGCACTTGGGCACGCAAAATTTCAGTTTGTGACCAATCATCTAAGCCCTGAAAAATTTAAATTTAGGTATGTACTGTAAAAAAAGTAAGTGTGTTACCTTTGAAAGTGACGTAGTCAATAAAGTTAAAAGAACTAGGGCACTAGCGATCTTCATTGTTGCTGTTTTATTTGTTACTTTACTCTGCTTGTTCCAAAATCTTCTTTATATACTCTTGCCTCATTATCAGCAGGAAATTTGTTGAACTTTGTCGGTTTTATCAATTTTGGATGATGACTACATAAAGTTCTTTTTAGCAATATCCTAATGGTCCTGTGAAGCATGTGTATGTTTATAATTTATTTTTACGATTAAAACGTAAATGGGTCTTAAGTCTCCGAAGTATAAAATTGATTTAATTTAATAGTAGTTAAAGTAGTTAAAGTAAATTTGCCCGAAAATAATGAACGGATGTTGGCACGTATTAAGTATAAAAATAGTAAGTTGTTAAAATACTTCAGATTAATTAATTTGTTTAATTGACAATGAAATTCTAGTACATTCTTAAATAAATGTTTTAGAACTCGATAAGATTAATATTATGTGTAAATTTATAAGTACCTATTTCCTATACTTGCTTTCATTGTTTTATCTTTATACAAAACTTACAACAATAGTTAGGATAAAATGTTTATTTTTACAGATTTGAAAAATGTCTTTTATCCATTAAATGATTGTCTTTCTTAAAAAGTTTTCATTTACACGACATTTGTTTTTAACCAAAACGTTCTTGTAGTAAGTTTTTAATTTTCGCACCAAATTATCAATGACTCTAATTCAGCTTATAAGAAAAGTTGCCTCCTAAAGAAAACAGGTCTGCGCAAAGATATAACATGGTAGAACTGAAGGCTCAGACCACTTCAATCGGTGCTAAGAAAACTTATCAACAGATCAAGGAATCATAAGAAAACAGAAGACTGGGAAGGCCCTAAAGAGCACCGGAAAGACTTTGAGAAAGAATTAAGCAAGAGGAAACGGGAAACGTTGAGATTCTTTTTCAGCGACATAATGCGACTGCTTCGGTCGCAAGGCTGAAGAGAGTTCTCTCGAAGAACCACAAACATCAACCAGGTATCCTGAAGAAAGAAGATGGTACTTTTGGAGCTACTTTAGAAGAGTCTGTAGAACTTTATGTTTCTAGGCTATAGTAGGAAACTAATAGGACGAGATATTACTAGCTTAACAAATACAAATGGTGTAGTAACAGACAATCTGTCGTGGATATAATGAAGAGGAAGAAACAGTTGAGTACATTCTTTGTGAATCTGTCTCCTACAGGAAATCCATATTAGAGGACATTTGATCTAGTACGGCAAAAACCAGGGAGTTCTCACCTTCTCCATTACTCAAGTACATTCAACACGTTGAGTGGCTTGATGAGTAGAGGAGCGGAAAAGGATATGATCGACAGGGGAGGGCACAATGGACCCAAAAGCGAGACCTAAGTGCCGCGTTGAATCCAGAATCCCGATTTTTTTTAAGGTGTTTTTAATTCATCTCCTGGATGCTGTGTAGTGATTTTTTTATATCATTGTGTTTAAATCCTAAATTTAAACAATAATTTCTAAAATTTAAATTTCCTCTTTACGTCACCAATAAGAAGGTCAAGACCAACGACGCGAATGTAGAACGCTGAAACATGGAATTGCAAGCACCAGAACTACGAAACGCTGACTATCGCACAAGCACCATCGTCAGCGTTAAGAAGGCAGCGGTAATGGAACAAAAAAAAATACAAGAAACTGGGACGCAATATAATTTCATATGTCTTATTACCTTTAGTTTAGAACCACTCATACGCAGTAAATAATTAGATTTGTATAAATAAGTTAGGTTGTTTTGAATAAAATGAGTATTAAGCTTTATTGGCTTTTTACTCACTTCCACAATTCTACCCCAGAATTGTTCAATTGGCTTTCTTAATGGTTGATCGAAAAAGTACAGAATGTGCCGACATGGTTGTTTTTCGCTGTGGATTACAATTGTTGTTGTGTCAACAATGACGAAACAAAATTTGTAAGACTTGGTCGTCTTTGATAATGATATGGTTTGGTTTATGCGCACGCTGATCTGTTCCGAACACTAAGACGGTGATCAATTTCGCTCACAAAGTCTTGGATGGGAGCGAATTTAGAGGAAATCTAAAGAGTTTTGGACACGACTAGGATTCCAAGTAGTCTGACGTGTAGTTTTATAAGGCCTCAAGTGTTTGACGACATTTGCCGAATTTGATGTTAATAATCCAAAATTACTTATTACTTAGAACTTAATCACTGGCACGATTTGTATAGTGTAAACCAAAATTCAGTTGTGACAAAATTACTCTCAGATAGATGATATTGTATTTTCTCAAGTTGTTGAGAGCAATTGTCAGAGTTGTAGAGATAGCTGCTAGTGGCATCTTCTTTAAGCATAGGCTTTTCCGATAAGTTTCTTGCCACCAGGAAAAATAGTGCGAGAAGGCACGTCTGCTTTTGTATACAGAATGACTGCGAAATATATGCAAATATTTTAACCACGGCATCCCCCACTCTCGTAGAGCTGAAATATAGAAAAAACAAATTAAAAATCGAATGGGGCAAAACCCCCATGAACTACCCTCGATACGAAGGCATTGAGCCACCTTGTAAACAGAGTTGGAAAAACGTTCGAATAAAAGCGACCTAAACACTTTCAGTTTCAATTAAAAGTAAAACCGACTTTTTGCTGCTTATCATTCGTTCATTCATTTACTCATTCATCGTTAAAGGTCAGTGTGAAAGTTTTTTGGTAATTTTGATTCTGACGGATGTTTGGTCCTTGTCACAATGATTTTACATTGTTTATTGGAACAGAAATAAGAGCAACTTAGAATGCTACTACCTTTTTACAAGAAATGTTGAAAATGTTGTCCTTGACTAGCAATACAAGCGTCAGAGCGTCGCAAGAGGTTTGTTGATAGGTAAAAAAAAACATCGGAGCAGCGGCTGCAACTTTCACTTGTTGAAGCTCTTCGATAATTTCTGGACACTGTTGATTTCCACAAACGAATTGTTTCATCCAACCAATACACGTTTCTCGAAAACCGTCTCTTGAAATCGTACTTGTTGACGACTATGTGGAGTTCCATCGGACAAAAAGTGAGTTACACAACGTGGACAATCAGCGGGCTCCAAATCGTGCATTTTGTCAACATGGTATGGATGTGACCGTGTTCTTTTAATGTAGGATGCACTACAAGCTGCGAAAATCCAAATTCTCCTTTCTGCCCCATCACGACCACGATCGTGAGTTTGAGGTTGAAGGTACCATGATCTCGGAGATGCTGTACCACTGATGCAAATGTTCGCTCACACAAATTACCATATCGACACACTCTGCATTGGAAAACTGGACCCTACACCGATTTCAACGACCGCTAGATAATGACTGGCCCTTTTCGTGTTTTTCACGTTGCGATTAAAAAAGTGCCTAATAAAGTTACTTTTTGGTTCTTACTCCGAGTCCCCTGCCCAGTCATTGCAGTAATTATGTAGGTCACGAAACATTACCAGCGGCGCGTATAACAATTTACATTTAATTTCAAATAATTTTTTCTAGACACTGCTACCACTTAGGACCGTGAATTTTTGCCAGTGACATAATCATATTGTGAGCTATTCCCCATTTTTTTTTGCATGTATTTCGCAGTCAGCCTGTATGGTGCGTAACATGAGATCAAATGTTAGAAAAATATAAAAACCAATAGGCCTGCAGGAGTTAGTAAATGTTTCACAAATTTGTGGTACGGGTCCTTTTAGGGTGATAACTCCAGGTAACTGATGTACTTTGTTATCTCCTACCATTCCACCAACTGGGGGGACTTTACTCTTTGCGGTGTGCCTCCCAATTACCGTTTAAAGAAGAATCGGTAAAAGAATCAACTGATTCTTTCCGTTGAATTAGATTATTTGAAACTCAGATTACTATCTTCCACCACATGAGGGCTGAGAGAAGAACAGCAGGTAGTTGTAGGTTTGCTTTATAGTTTTAGGTATAGTGTGAAATAGATTTGTATACCTATATTTACTTCTTTCAAGTAGTATATAGTAGAATACCACCAACCTTATTTTAACGGGGAAGTAAATATGAGTAACTACATAACGGGTGTTCATTTAAAAAATTCATCAAGTTGCCATTGGTTTTTACTTTTTTTATTTTGAAATATGTCTGCGCTGATATTCAAATTTATGATCGATGACAGTTGTCATCAATCGTCTAATTTAATGTCACTTGTTCCAATGTTGCCCTTCTGTGTATCGTAAAACCCGCCTCTCAAAATTTCTAAAAATATATTTGTTCAATTCTTTGTGTGAGTCCTCCAGATTTGCAACTGGTGTTTGAAAAATTGTGCTTTTAAGATGAGGCAACAAGAAACAATCACAAGTTGTCAAATGACAGGAACGAGGTGGCTAAGGAATTTCTGTATTTCGACTAATATTGCGGTCATCAAAGAAGTTTCTTAAGAAATTTAAGTTGTCCTCCATCTTGTTGAAAGAATCCATTCTGGAATTCATTGTCGTGGTTAATAAAGGGCTCTAAAATTTCATTTACATAGGTATCTAGCAAAATTTAGTGTACCTAATAAAAAAATCAGAGTAAAAAGCGGTATAGATAATTTTTTTATAGATTATCTTGGAAGAATATTAGTCCAATGATTCGTGTTTGAGTAATTGCTGCATGCACATGCGTTTTTCGCTAGGTTTTCTTCTACCAAAATGTCATAATTAACTTAATGATTTTTATTAAAGGAACACCAGTTATATTGGGCAAGGTAATCGATACGACACAGTTTCGAATTAGTGATGCATTCCAAGCATTGACTTTTATACGTTCTCCGCGTTTTGTTATTTAATATAAAGCCCAGGGGTTACAAAACGTGGATGGTTTTTGTCGTTCCATATAAAGGTAAGTGCGATCGCTAATTTGAAAGGGAGTGTTGGATAGTTATACAAGGTCTTGTCAAAGTGACATCAGAACCGGATCGGACTAAGTGAGTAAATAAACCGCCTCTGCAGGGATACGCTAGAACCTCCAGTCGGGGTGATTCTGATTAGTTTTCAAATGACTAACTGTGCAATACAAAAGAAGTGACTGTCC